AAAAGTTACGGTCAATTAGCATATTTGTCTTTTATTAGTGGAGATTCTAAATTCAAAAAGGAATCTGTTACTCTCCATGATTTATGTAAGTTAGAAATGGATGGCAAGTTTTTTTGCGAGCAAGCTAAAATTTTTTTTTTTTTAAATATATTTTATTGATTTTTTACAGAAAGGAAGGGAGAGAGACAGAGAGTCAGAAACATCGATGAGAGAGAAACATCGACCAGCTGCCTCCTGCACATCCCCCACTGGGGATGTGCCCGCAACCCAGGTACATGCCCTTGACCGGAATCGAACCCGGGACCCTTCAGTACACAGGCCGACACTCTATCCACTTAGCCAAGCCGGTTTTGGCCAAGCTAAAATTTTTTTAAAAAGACTCACAGTTGCCCTGTATAGGAAAAACATATAAGGCAAATATATAAGGAAAAAAAAAGAAATGCAGTTACCATGGATGAGAAAAATATAGTTTCATGTAATGCCATAAATGTGTAAGTCATGTTCCAGGAATCTGTAGTTTTAGGTTAATGATTTGCAATCAGGGTGCATTTTCCCCTAGAACATCATGTTATTTAATTTGTGGGGGAGCCACAAAAATATTATTTTTTAAAACTTGTACTAAGTGTGAAATACCACCTATAGGAGCCCTGAACTCCAGGGCGTTTAAGAGCCTAAAGCCTAAGTCTAGGGTCCTGTGCTCTTGTGAGGTTTACTTCCCTGGAGATTTCTAGGGATGCTAGCAGTAGGGAATGAGATTGAGTGCTCATATGTGGAGACAGCCTGGTGTCTTTACTTTGGCAATGAGTTAGGGATGTGCCAGAAGCTGAGAGGAAAAGGTTGCGAGCAGGGCCAGAAGGGCCATTTGAATAGGGCCTCAGGTTCACAGAGTACCTCATAAATTTAAACTTTTGACATTTCTTTCTAATACAACTAGACATAAAGTTATTGCCTTTGTCATTGCAATTGTGTGTGTTAAATGCATTAATATGTAAAATGTAGGTATCTAAAATAAACTGTATTTTAATAAGGCCTTTAGCTTGGCAGTTCTTTACTTTTTTGCATATTGAGAGTCTTAACAAGTAGAAGCATCTTAGGTCTCTTTCAACCTCAGAGAGACTCTGGTCCTAAGGGATAAGTAAATGGATTCCAGAGATTCTCACTCCACATATTTGTTCCTGGCACATATGCATGCAGATGGATGAGTGGGTGTATGTATGAAGGTTGAATAGTCAGACAGCAGAAGAGGACCAAAAGGGAAGTGGGAACCAAGGAACTGTGTAATAAAGGGGGCTTCAAGTTTGGAGAAAATGGGGGTTGCAGGGGTCATTAGTGTACATAGGTTGTTAGCAAATTAACAATTCCTACACTGGAAAATGTCTGTTTTTGGGTTATGATTTGTGCAGTTTAAATGAATTTATGTATTCTTACATTTGAATAAACATGAGGGAAGTCACACTTTTGAAAAATACATTTTTATTGATTTTTAGATATAGAGAAAGAGGAGGAGAGAGAAATATCAATGTGAGAGTGAAGTATTGATGTGAGAGTGCACCACAGATCAGCTGCCTCCTGCACGGCCCCCACTGGGGATTGAACCTGCAACCTGGGCATGTGCCCTAACCAGGAATTGAAACAGCAACTTTTGGTTGAGCTGTAACACTGCCATGTTTATTTAAATGTAAAAATGTGTAATATTAATTAATTAATAATAATAAACTTGATGTACAATAATGACATATTAAGACATGGTCTTCATATTTCTATCAGTAAACAATAAGCTTCCTGAGAATAACCATCATGGTCTGTTTGGTACCCTGCTATATCCTCAGTACCTAAAACAGAACCTGGTATAGGATAGGTACTCAAAAAAAATTAGTTGAATGAATATATAGATGACCAAATGAATGTCAGTTTATTTTGGTTCTCAATTTTGAGTGTTAATTAAAAAAACTTTAAACCTTTCATCAAGGTACTAGAGCATGCATTGTTTCTTAAATTATCTGAAAGAGCTGGTGCAGTTCCCTCCATGCCTGATGCATGTCATCAGTGGTGAGAAGAATCATTGCTGCTCACCTGCCACCAAATTCAGACATTACCCCAGAAACCACCCTGCCTACTATTCCTTTTATTCTTAACTAGAGGCCCGGTGCATGAAAATTCATGCACTCGAGGGAGTCCCTCAGCCTGGCCTGCACCCTCTCACAGTCTGGGACCCCTCGAGAGATCTCAGACATCCTCTGGCAGCCTGGGAACCCTCAGGGGATGTCCGACTAACAGGGAATGGGCCTAAGCCACTAGTTGGACATCCTTAGTGCTGCTACGGAGACAGGAGAGGCTCCCACCACTGCCGCTGCACTGGCCAGCCATAAGCCAGCTTCTGGCTGAGTGGCGCTCCCCTGTGGAAGCACACTGACCACCAGGGGGTGGCTTCTGCGTTGAGCATCTGCCCCCTGGTGCTCAGTGCATGTCATAGTGACCGGTCGTTCCCAGTTCTGCCATTAGGGTCATTTTGCATATTATCCTTTTATTATATGGGATAGTTGCAAACGGAGAAAATGGAAATCCAAAGGGTCTTAGTTTTCCTGCTCTGATTGCTCTAAGTCAGCGGTTCTCAACCTGTTGGTTGCAACCTCTTTGGCAGTCGAACGACCCTTTCACAGGGGTCGCCTAAGACCATACTGCATATCAGATATTTACATTACAATTCATAACAGTAGCAACATTACAGTTATGAAGTAGCAACGAAAATAATTTTATGGTTGGGTCACAACATGAGGAACTGTATTTAAAGGGCCAGAAGGTTGAGAACCACTGCTCTAAGTCAATCTTGGAGGGACTTTAATCCTAGGTACTTAAATTCCCATTGATTCTGCAAGCTTGAATACATGTCTTCCTGCATCGTGACTACACATGAATGTGGCCTTCTTTCTTCCCAATGCCTGGTTTTCTAGGGATGGTAATAAGAAGTATAGACTGATGGTTAAGTTGTTTACTGTTTGGAAGTAGGTATTTTTTCTCAAGTTCAAAGGCCACTGTGTTAGTTGTGTTTTTTTAAGTCAATCGCTCCACTTGCCCCACACCCACTCAGGAATAGCTGAGCCATTTCCACATGTGTTGCAGATACATAGAGAAACATGTAGTCACATGACAGGGTACTTCTTCAGTGGGGTCATAGCAACCTAATCTTAATTTTCTCTTCTTATCTACTAAGTTCCTACTCTGCTATCCCAAGGAGCTATTTAACTCATTTGCATGCATGCGTGTGCATGCATGTGCGTGTGTGTATGTGTGTTTGAAATATATATATATGAAAACATTAATCTACCTCATTTTTGTTCTCAGATCTTTGTTTTGGAAATTACATAGCTTTCCAAAAATAGTTACATAGATGGCAAACTTTTGAGTACACTTATGGGAACTAAGCAATGAAATAGGTACAAATGAGATCAATCAACAAAGAGGAAAATATGGCACTCTATCAAGAGACATCCATGTTTTAATAGTGAACTTTATCTTACAGAATGAGTAGAGGTAATGCAGGGAGTTGGTGGCCTGAGGGGATTCGGATGCTTTACCTGGCATCAGATTCTGACTCTAACATTCACTTAGATGTGTTTCCTTGGGCAGGCAGTTTAAACTTTCCATGCTTCATCAATAAAATAGAGATACATTGCAGTGTACTTCATAAGGTTGTTGGAAGGATCAGTTGGTTGATACATGTAAAATGCTTATAATTGTGCCCAGCACTCGGTAAGAGTTATTAATGGGGAGGAAAACACGTAGAAGTATTTAGGCATATTCCAAACATCTAAAAATATATTCATAGATGAGTGACACACTATATAGTGAGCATATGCTAACTATAATTCTGCTCTACAATTTATAATGTAAACTGTATTTTTGTGTTTACCTTCTAGAAACTTAATCTTATTTTTGCTCAATTCTAATTTGGGGTGGTAGAGTTTTGTTTTGTTCTCAAACCTGGATATAATTAATATAATCTTAGTTTTCACCAGATGTAGTGGTCTTTCTATTCCCAAAATAGAGTCATTAGGTTGCTTCTGGAAATTTCCTTTTCAATATTCCATAGAGGGTCTATAGGAGTGATTCTCAATTCATGTCCCACAGGTCAGCCTATCAAATAACTTGAGTTGCTCCCTTCCCCCAAGACCTACTTTCTTTAAAAGAGAAAGGCATTTATATTTTTGTAGGTATTCAATTATATTCATCATTCATAGTAATTTGGGGATCTTAAAATTGCAGGGTATTATTTGGAGCAAATTTTATCAAGCATTATTAACCAAGACAAGTAATAAAGACCTTGTTCTTAACTTAGCTATTTCAATATCCCACCCAGTGATAGAGAGACCACCTGATTGACAACTGCTGATTTATAGATTTACTAGGGTCTGTCAGCCCTTTCCCCAAGATTTGAAGGCAAAATTATTACCCAAACCTATAATTAACCGTCTCTCCTTTTCTCATTAGTTTCTGTATTTTTTTCCAATCCCTCAACCCCAACATTCAATGTTCTCCCGCAGGGACTGTCCAGGACTATCCATCATGGCTCCCCACACTCTTCTGACTTTTGTAAATAGCCGTCTAATCTGGTTTTTAAAACCCTGATTTTATTGTGGGAAAATTTTATTGTAGTAGCTAAATTGATCAATTTAATTAACTGTACTTCACTCCTTGGGATAGGCTCCAAGCAGTGCCTTTCCCCACAAAAAGTTTAAGTTACGATAGGCCAGTCAGGAAAAAGGTTTTGAGCCACCGACAAAATAAACTGGCCCTGTCTGCTTCATTGCCCCAAATGTTGGGGAAAGCACAACAGGTATCTTTCACGGAACCCCAAGTGTCTGATCCTTACTGCTAATGGTTATAGAATTGTCAGTCTAATGCCTTTTGGTGTTTTCATCCTGGTTTCTCCCAAGCAAACAACGCACACCCACACTCACATGCATGAGCAAATAAACACACATATCAAAATACTTTCTAGCTGGGCTTTAAGCTGCTGACCTGTTATTTACATGCTGACATTATTATGTTACTGTGTACAGAATTTGATTTTCAGAAATATTTTTTGAATTAGTTCTCCCCAACGTCCATGAACTCATTCAGAAAACATTTCTTAAGTGTGCTGTGTATACCAGGCCCTGTGATAACAGGTACGTGTGGCTGATCTGATTTTAACCATGAGGAATGTGCAGCATGGGAAGGGTGGTAACAGTTAGCGGAGTCTGCTTGCCAGAGGCTGGTGCTTGGTTCACCAAGCTTCTCTAAAATGTGATATTTTGTTTTCGCAAGCTTGTTAGACACGTTGCATTAAAATACTGCCAAATTCTGTCCCTTTTTGTCCAAACGTTTTCAACTTGAAAAAGGAATTTCAGTGTGTAAAACTTTCCATTAGAAGGCCACCTGTAAACTTAAAACGGTCAGACTGTTTTTTCAGCTGCCTGCATCTCTGTTTCTCAACTGACTAATATTGACAGATAAAGATGACTGTCCCCTGAGAAGGGCTCGTGTTGTTTGTGGTTATTCTGTCACTACCAGGAGGGACAGCTCCCCTGATCCAGAGGGAATGCAGAGATACAGTTTGCAGACAGAATCCTATGCTGACTAGCAACTAAAAAATAATAGTCAAATAATGATTTCATTGTTCCATCCTGTGTCCATGACGACCGAGAGGTATGCAGCTAGACCAGAACACTGCCTGGGAGTGTTTTTTGCCTCAACATTACTATTTTGAGAAAGTTTGAAATTTATTCTGACAGCCAGGCTAAGGGGAAAAATGGGCATTTCTAATATCTTGCTAACTTTAGTGTCTCTATATCCCCAAAGGTAATTCTGCCATCACTTTGGTTCACTGGCACTCTGACTCGCCCTTAAATAGAATCTGGTTTAAGGCATAGCTCCTACCAGGGTGGCAGTCAGCGACACAGTTCCCACTGCCCTGCAGTTCTCTCTCAGCCCAGGAACAGCAGCAGGACTTTGGGAGAGTGTCTTACCCCTTCTAACCGTCCTTATTCATAAAATAGGCATTAGTAGCAATCTTTTCCCATAAAACTGTTGTGAAGTGCTTAGCCAGCTGCTTGGCACAAGTATGTCCCCTTCGATGGGCAGTTTATTGTTATTATTAGGATTCTTCCCTCCAAGAATGTTCCAGGGCACTGGTTCTCAGCCTTGATGGCACCTCAGAATCACCTGAATAACTTTAAAAATCCTGATGCCCGGGCCACGCCCCAGATCAACTAAATCAGCATCTTTGGGGAGAGGGGGTGTTGGGCCCAGGACTTACGATTTTAAAAATTGTTCCAGCTGATTCCAAAGTGCAGAGAAAGTTGTACAACTGGAAACTATACTAAAGCCAAATTATTTTTTACATGTTAGTGTTTTTTTTTTTTAAGTTTGAGTTAATTTATTGACAGAAGTAATAATAGAGATTAATATGTGCTATTTTAACACAAAGATCAGTATAACTTCAAACATTTCCCACTTAGATCATATCTGTGCTTGTTTAAGTTTTGGAGAAATCCACTGGCAACACAAGAATAGATGATTTTTATGCTGCTTATGCTAAATAGGCATCTTTAGCCTTCTAGTACATTATTAACTTTTTGGAATGAGAAAGCTAATATCTGGGATAAACTCAGTTGTATTAACTATATAAGAACATTTGAATTTCTTCCTGGTAATCCCTCAAAACATTAATTATCAAGTTCTCAAAATCTTATAAAGTTTAAAACAATGAAACCACAAGATAACATTTCTGAAGGGATTTCTTAGCCCCCAGTTCTTTATTTCCAAAGTGAATTTGTCTATATTTCAACACGTTACCTTATTTTGGTGAGCAAGTTAATTCAATTTGAAGCTTCTTCAAAATAATTTTTTTAAATAAATACTTTATCTCACATTCAGTTTCTCTGCATATATAATTTTAACCTACATATACAGAGTGGGGCAAAAGTAGGTTTACAGTTTTTCTTATGGAAAATAATACAATAATTAATAAATAATATTACAGGAATAACCTCGATTTCACCTACTCACATCTGTAAACCTACTTTTGTCCCACAATGTATTGCTGCTAATCATCATAATAATTACACTTGTTTACTACTGTGAGTTTTCCAGATACTTTTGCACATATATTTTTATTCATTTCTCATAAAACTTCAGTGAGGGTGGAGGTAAAAAATTAGCCTCATTTTGTAGGTGGGAAAACTAAGGCAGTTTATTAATAGGCAGTTTAAACTGAACCAGGGCAAAATTTCTTGGTTTTTAGTTAGATATTAACTCATTTGTGCATTGACCACGCATTACCAACCTGCAGATATGTGTCAGCTGCTGTTCTAGGCAATGGGCACCCAAGATGAGGAAGACACACTTCTTGCCTTTAAGTCGTTCCATACACAGTGCTGGAAAGTTCTTAGCCTGATTCTCTTACCAAGGCAGAATACATGACCTGAAATTCCCATGGCCCATGCTATCAACTGATCCAAACATAGGCAGGAAGAAGAAAAGAATTGAGGCTGTTCAGAAACCCATAACTACCACCTTTTACAGTTATAGTTTGTGACAATTTTATCAGCCTGGACACTAATATCCTTTTCAGCTGGATTTTTGGTGATTTCTGTCACATTAGGGAAAGCTATAGTGTGTTTGTTTTTAGAATGTATTATTCAGTGATGTTTTAATTTGTTTTTCTCCAGCTTTTCAACTGCTAATGTTTGTTTACTTTTGGAAACTGTTTTGAAGATTAAGCATATTGGTTTATTTTTAATGCTAATTCATCTTACATATTAACTGGTTTTTGAAGTAATCCTATTGCTGAATTAAAATATTCTAACTTATTAGACACAAATGAAATTCTACAGTAAGGTGTAGGGTTTAAGTTTAATTAAATTCTCTTAAAAATACATTGATTTTTTGCTTATTGTAAAGTCTTGGAGTGAAGTTATTGCCTTAACTGTCTTTTGAAATTAGCCATATTTATTTTATTTTAGAGCATAAAGCAAGATTAAATTAACTGAATAGAACTGTTTTAGTTCTTGTTGAGGATTCATATTTACCCTAAAGGAAGGAAAGTTCAGAAAGAATATTATTAGTTTTTCAGTTACTGAGTGGAAACATTTTATGTCTTGAAAATTTTCCTTAAATATTTTGCAATTAAAAATATATAAATAAATAAAGGAATAGGGCATAATGTTGAAATGTTAAAATATAAATATTGTTAAGCAGCAAATAAATGAAATATCTTATTCTTGTATGAAACTACTTAATGTCAATAAAGTTTAAATTAGTTCAGACTTTTCTTATTAGAATAAATGTTTCCTTTTAAAATGCATGATAATCATAATCAAGACAAAATTTGTCCTGTTATTTATTTTCAAAATGATTGTACATGTTTAGCAGACTTTTGATTTAAATCCCCAGTGATATATTGGAGACAGATGTTTAGATGACCTCATGTTTAAAGTAATGTTATATTTGGACACAAGATTAAATTTTCCTTAAAATCTTTCCTTATAAGTTAAACTGTGTGGTAGTATACAAAAACTAATCAATGATTTGCAGTGGATTAATGCAATTCCTGTATTTTAAATAATTTTTTTTATCTTTTATGGAATTCCACATAGTACAAAAGAGCTGATTATGAAACAGCTGTTTACAAATGAAAATATTGTTTTTGGCTGGCCAGCTAAATGGGAAACAGATTTGAAAAGTTCCATGAATTTGAATGCAAATGTACCATATCATTTATACCGAACCAGAGGACATTGGTAAAAGACTGCAACATGGTTTACCAAAAAAATTCTGTTCAAGACTGTTTCATAGAATATAATGTAAACATTTAAAATACATTTTCTTTTTTCAAACATTGATTTTTCCTTATGAAAATCAATAACTATAATATGTAGTTAATATTTTGGGAAGGCTTTTAAGGACCTCATAAACAATATTTAACATTTCAATAAAGAGAAATTAGCAAATGGAGCTATTAGAAATGTGTAGGCAATTAAGTGAAATAGACAAAAGATAAGAGATATTATTTAAAGACAAATATATATGACAAATGTGTGTAGGGCAGAGCTATGTAGGTATCAGCGTATTGTCATTTTCAGCAGCAGCTAGAATGTTATACTGCAAATCACATTACTGTGGAAATTATAATTTTAAAAACCTGGTGCAATGAAAACCTTAACATTTTCTCTGAAATTTTAAAGTTATTAAGAACTATTTATTTTGAAATAGGTTTACATAAAAATAAATAAGATTTAAAGGCTTTATGAATTTTGAATATGACTCTATTGAATACTAAAGTACATAATCTACTTTTGTTTGCTCATGACTTAAAATTTCTAGGAGGCCCTGGCTGGGTAGCTCAGTTGGTTGGAGTGTCATCCCGTACACCAAAAGGTCTGGGGATCCTTTCCCGGTCAGGGCACATACCTAGGTTGCAGGCTCGATCTCTGGTTGGAGAGTGTATAGCAGGCAACTGATCAATATTTTTCTCTCACATTGATGTTTCTCTCACTCTTTCTTTCTCTCCCTGTCTCCCTTCCTCTCTCTCTGAAATCAATTTTTTAAAGGTATATCCTCCAGTGAAGATTAAAAAAACAAAACAAAAAAACCCCCTTCTATGGTTTGTTAGTTTCTTTTATTTTTATCTCTTCTACAGTCTTTCTCCTTGTCTTAATTTTCTGAAAGTGTGATCATGTTTCTGTAGTAGCTTTTTAAAAAAATTACCTGAATAAATGCTTTTCTGGGGGTGGGATATTTGGTTCTGTTGTCACTATAATAACGTGACTGTGAACTTCCTAAGTGGTTGATAATCACTTAAGAGAGAAGCAAGGGGAATACGTGCAAATATTTTCAGAAACAAGTTTTGGGGCAAAATGAAGACAAATAGAATCTGGGAATGAATGCAAGCAACATAAGTACACACACATTAAATTGGAATATTATTTTATTGATGTTGATAAATGTGTCCTAAATGGATGATCCACCTTTAACATACTTGAATTGTTTTCTACATAGTCCACTGAGTGTCAGAAATTAATGAACACTTGTAATATTAATTCACTGACATACAGACATGCAAAATTGTAGGAGACTATAAATTTTAAAGGAAGGTTGATGCCTTATGACTCCTTTGATGATGTATCCTTTGCTTTTGAGAATAGCAGAGATAACTGCCACTTCCTTGATGAGGCAGAATACACAATCGTGATGGCTTATATCACATCATCCCATTCTTTTGGCTTAACTCATGATCCTATAATGTAGCAATGTATACAGATCAAGCAGCTGGCACAAATGAGGATGCACTTAAAAGCCACTAAAAGAGGTTTTCTTATTTACTTATATTTCAGCCTAATATATTCACACATCTGACATAAACAATAAAGAAGTTTTAATTCACTGATAGTTTTAATATCCCATATAGTCTGGCTGTAGAGCCCTCCCTCAAAATCAAAGGCTTGACGGTTTTGCCAATTCAACTAAATTACTAAATTATCTGCAGAAAGAGTTTAGTGTTTGGATCAACGAAGAGGGTGCCACAGGATTCAAGTTTAGAGAAGACTTGCAAGTGCGATGGAGGAGATCTAGTAAAAATGGTGTTGAGTGAATTTGCTGAGGGACAAAAAGGAATGAATTGTGGAAGAGACATAGCATATACAACTTGATTCATGTGATTGCATTATTTTACACTTGCTGATATGTTACTTACGGGGAAAAAACATGTTATTTTTATTTCATTGTGGGCAGAATACTTATCTCGCACACTGGCCAGGGCAGACAATGCTCTGCACCCACAAGGCCCTCTAGGTATGTCTGCTGACTGACAGCTGCGTTGGTTAGTACCAAACAGTCCAACATAAAATATCTTGTTTAGTATGCAGCAATGAGCTTGGACTCACAGCACCAGTATGTTCACAAAGGGACCTCATAGGATGAAATGTCACCATAACAAAGTGTCCGACTCAATGACTTGGTCTACTGTTACACTAGACAAATTCATTTTTGTTGCTTTTTTTTTTCATAGAAACCCACAAAGATTCTGAGGTTAGTCTGTATGACTCTCTGTTGAGGAAGGGGGTGTTTAACTTCTTTACATATTAAAAAAAGGTGTCTGACATATACACACAAAATTTCACACATTTTAAGCACAGAGCTTGAAAATTATTCCAAGTTTACAAATTTGTGTAGCCATTACCCCAGTCAAGAAATAGAATATTTCCAGCAACCCAGGAGCCCCGCATTGTCCCTCCCTCCTATCATTACCTTCGTTCTCTTCTCCAGCGGTCGGACATTTAACTTTGTTCTTTCTTTTTAGTGGCCAGATCTCCTCAAACTTCTTTGTCGATGAGGTGTATTTTGCTTGCCCATTAGGAGAACCTTTTACAGTCTGGCCAAAGCCAGCAGCTCCTTCTCTATGATTATTTTCCCCATCTGTTTAGAATTCACATCCACATTGTATTGTTGCCTCATCTAATCAAGCAAGGGAATGTCTCGAGAGTATGTGCTCCATAAACTACTTAATTTTCTGAAGTGGTCACTGCCAGGGGCTTAGGGAGAAACCACCAAATCTTCTTTGGCTACAAGTCTCTCTTGGAGCCAATGTTTCTCAAAAGAGCCATGCCATACGCACAAGCTTTAATTTTTGCTTAGGTCAGAGTTCCTGTTATATTTGTAATTGTACTAATATAATATTGTTTTTCTTTAGATTTATGCTTTAAGCATAACATGTTGCATAAACTTGTTATAAGTAGAAAAGTTAAAAATTATCAAAGTTAATGCAGAGCAAACATGTTTTGCTGCTTCTCAAGGATCTATGGCATGACATATCTGGACTCACATGGGCTATCACTTCCGTTTAGTGGGGACAATCTATTACAAAGTGGATCCGGGCTGCGTTAATAGCAGGACTCAGCTTAATTTTTATTCTTCACCATTCTTATAAGATAATATGGACATTGAGCCCTTATTTAGGAAAAAAGTATTTTAAAAGTTTTTGATAAGTGCCAAAACATTGGTCTTGAGAAAAATTATCAAAAAGATTTGCAAATGTATTTGGAGACTTTAATTCAGGCAAGAAACAAATATGTATTCCTTAATTATATTTATGAGAATTTTGAAACCTTATAATATAAAGTCTCTAAACCTGTTTTGAGAGCTGTAGGCACACTGTGGAATATTGATCGTCTGACTTCTGGGTGGACTTGTTTTGAGCAATCATTTAAAATGTATTTAATACATTGTTTCTAGCTCAATGACAGACTATGAGAACTGGAGAAATGCATAGCTTTCCTCTATTCAGGACCAAATCCTTTTATTATCTTGAAGGCTTATTGTGATTTTAAAAAGTTCAGGATTGTTGCTGGTGTAAAAAGTGGTTCTTAGTCACTTGGGAATAATCCCGAAAGGAACACTGGGTAAGTCTGGGTCATTGCTGAAGGGGGAGCATCATGTTTTCCATTTTCTCACCCCAAGTGTGTTCTAATGCAGACAAATGGAACTGCACTAGATAACTCTTGCCAACAGAAAGGTCAGGGCAATAGCATCTCCAAACTAGGTGCTGATCTGACACTGCATAATAAAGCACTGGTTGTTAGGTTTCTCTAGATTGTCAATCCAAGAAAGTGATATTTATGGGACTGTGGAGTATAGCTGTCATTTTATGAGTGTTATGAAGTCAGTGTTGGAGGAGAAGCCAGGGATTTCTTTAAATAGAAGCCGGTTTGTAGCAGTGATTCTCTACTCTGTCTCATCTTTCTAGACCTACACTTTCCAGTAGATCTTTTTGCATTGTTGGAAATGCTGTATGTCTGTACTCTCCATTATATAATTACTAGCCACCAATGGCTACTGAATATTTAAAATATGGCCAGTGCGATAGAGGAAATTAATTTTTAATTTTATTTCATTATAATTAATTCAAATAGCCACATGCAGCTAGTAGCTACTGTATTGAACAGCATTTAGATTATGCATTTGTGAAACGCAAGTAATACTGTTTAAAATGTAGAATGATGGACCATATCAACTTGTAGGTTTACTTTGGACTGGGGCATTCCTTTGTATTAACACATCAAAATAATATAATTCAATCTAACTCATGCTTCATTTTAAGAGATAAAATTCTTGCTAAACAACATAATTTGGGGGGAGTTAAAACTTCAACTATTTATTGTCTCAGTTCTAGAGACTAGAAGTCTAAATGTAATGTATCGACAGAACTCCTCCTTTTGGAGGCACGGAGGGACAATCTGCTCCAGGCTTCCCCTGGCTTCTAGTAGTTGCTGATAATGCATGTCAGTTTTTGGTTTAAACAACATAATATTTTAAAACCCTTGTAGCAAGGGTGTTTAAAACCCTTGTAGCAAGGAGATACAGGATGGGCATTTCTGTTTTTATAGGAATGTTTGTATTTAGCACCCACCAGACAAGAAAATAATCTTCCAACAATTAAATATAAATTGTAACATAACTTTTCTCTTGGAAAGTTTGCTTATTGAAGTCTTAGTTCTCTTATCTTAGAATTGTATTCTCATTGCTTTTGGCTGATAGCAAAACATTTGGTTTCTCCTAGTCCTTAAACAATTTAACAGCCTCTTCTTATGACAACTTGATATAGGCCTACTGAGTGTCAGTTTAGCACATCTTTACCAAAATAATTCCACAACTATTCAAAACTGGCATACAAAATTATGTTAGTTTTTGTCCACTTCCGGCTTCCTGACCAGATTTTTAGTTTTGAGTTTTCCATGTGCCAGTGTTTATTACTTGAGACAGGATGATTGAATGTAGCAGTCAGCTAGAGAAAACTGGTCTTTATGCTTTTGAAACACTTTACTTTTCATTCGATCAATGAAAATATTGGATTTTAGTTTTATACATGTAAAAAAATCAATAGAGACCCATTGTGACTCTGTGCCAACAGTCAGGAATTGCCACACACTGTTTCCAGCTTTTATCTTTGAGGGGAAAAAAGGCAAGAACATCACTACAAGTTAAAGACGAGGATTTAGTCCCAGAGGAGGTAAGATCTGAGAGGGTGCTGGAAATGCCTTAGGCAGCATTAAAATTCAAGGTAAAGACATTTGTGTTAGCTAAATGGTAGGTATCCATAGAAATATCTCTCTGGAGGGGCGACTAATGAGCAGAAAGTACTGGTGTTTTCAGTGAGACATTCTGGATTAGAATCCTGGTTCTGCCTCTCATAGCTGTGTGTTCTCAGGCAAATTTCCTAAGCCCTCTGAGCCTCAGTTTCTTCATTTGTAAAATGAGGATAAAAATGCCCACTTTTGCCCTGGCCGGTGTGTCTCAGTTTGTTGGGCCTTGTCCCGGACCCTGAAAGGTTGCCGGTTCGGTTCACGGTCAGGGCACATGCCTGGATTGTAGGCTCAATCCCTGGTAGGGCGTGTGCAGGAGGGACCCTGATGGATGTTTCATTCTCACATCGATGTTTCTCTCTCTCTCTCTCTCTCAATCAATAAAAAATATATTTTTTTAAGTGCCAACTCTTCATGGTGAATAGGATAATGTTTGCAATGTGCTTTGGACTTGGTTTGTATTTAAAAAGGGGTAGTTATAACCATTTCCCATAAGAACAGGAACAAGACAAAGATGCCCACTTTCACCACTCCTGTTCGACATAGTACTAGAAGTGCTAGCTGTTGCGATTAGACAAGAGGAAATAAAAGGCATCCAAATTGGAAAGGAGGAAGTAAAACTGTAACTATTCGCAGATAACATGATACTGTACATAGAAAACCCTAAAGACTCCATCAGAAAAC